TGTATGCTTCAGAGTTTGGATCTTTTGAGAATAGATCGGATCATTCGCTGCTCTCTTCGATCCCAAGGTTCGTCTATATATATGTATATATAGAATTAGAAATGCTTGGATTGCATTTCTTTTTATTAGATTTTTCCCCTCTATTTTGGTTATTTTTTTAAAATATGATTTTGTTTTTCTGGGGGGATTTTAGCACTGCCTTTGGCAGCAATAGAGCCAGTGCCCGAGAGTTGCGTGTCATCGGTAGAGGAGAGAACAATGGAGGAGAGGGAAAGGTGGTGGAAGATGGGATTGAAGGCTATATCAGAAGGCAAATTGGCTGTTTTGCTTCTATCTGGCGGCCAGGTATATTATCTGTCTGCTTTTTTTTTTTAAATCTTTTACAATGTAGATTTATTTTATACAATACTTAATGATGTGGGTCTTCTTTTTGCTTCCCTTTTGATCTATATTTTCTGTCTCACCAAGAAAGATTTAATAATAAAGTGATGTTATTACGGGTTCTTAGCTGAGGATTCCTTCTATCTCTGACCATAATTTTGGAATGATTTGCTTTTGGAGTGGTGCCCACATTAGACATTTTCCTAACCAATATGTTCACTTAATAATGTAAAAAGCAGAGCCCATAAAGTCTTTAATGGATAATCACTACTTAATAAAGGTAGGTATGATGTTGCTTTAGTGGATGTCTAGTAATGATAATTACTGATAAAGATATGTTAACTTTGAAAGTGGATGCTTCAATCTGTTTCTGCAAATAATTATTGTTTACTTAAAAGATGCTTTACAGGATTCTATACTTTTTTTTACTGAAAATGGGATCCAAATCTGCTTTATGAATAATAGATCCCGTTGTGTAACCCTTTTTAAGTTCCCATTTTACTGATTTTTTGGTGTTATCTCCGTATGATTGAAATGTATTGCAGGGAACTCGGCTTGGAAGTTCAGATCCCAAGGGATGTATCAGTGAGTATTTTTATTTGTTGCTGACATTATTTTTACCTTAAAAACATCTGTTGTTTATATTTTTGTGTTTTGATTTTAGATATTGGACTTCCTTCTGGGAAGTCACTTTTTCAACTGCAAGCTGAGCGGATTTTATGTGTTCAAAGACTAGCTGCACAAGCTATGAATGAGGGTAAACATCTTATCTATCTACTCTGTATGATTCTATTCTGTTTGTAGCTTATCCTCATGACTGGATATCTGCAGGTTCAACAGGTTCAGTGACAATACACTGGTACATAATGACTAGTCCTTTTACTGATGATGCAACACGCAAATTCTTTGAGAGTCATAAATACTTTGGTCTTGAAGCAGATCAAGTGAGATGGTTTCTTATTCTTTGATTTCCTTATGGTTTATCTTTTGTTGCTTTTGCTGACTTTGAAGTCTGGACTTGATGCAGGTTACTTTCTTCCAGCAAGGCACCATACCTTGTATCTCAAAGGATGGTAGATATATCATGGAGACTCCATTCAAGGTATGGTTTCTTTTTGTGAACGAGCTAATTTAGAGTGACATTTTCTTTTGGTTCAGTAAAATAAAAATTCAAGTTATAATTGGGAATCTCGGTGGACATATAGTTATATTCACCCTAGCAGTTTCAGAGCTTTTTTAAGATGTGTATCAAAGTCCTTAAGAGTTCTATTCACTATATAACTGATTCACATTTAGATATTGACAAATACTATTACATCATTGAAACTTCACTTTAGGGTTGATAATTCTTTTAAGGAATGCTGAAAGGATAGAACTTAGAAGTAAATTACCTGTCTGTAAGTTTTAGGAGGAAAAAGTTCTGATTCTTTTGTATAATTTGACAGCATTATTCCTGCTACACTATTCTCACAGAAGTATCCTTTTAATTGCATTAGCACTCAATGGTTTTCGTCCGGCCGAGTGTAATATTCTTTTATGTCACAATTTGCATATTATTCTAAGTAGCAAACTTATTCAAATGTGGTGGTTACATGAGTACCTTTTTTCACGCCAGGTAGCTAAGTCTCCAGATGGGAATGGAGGAGTATATTCAGGTATTTTCAAAATAATGCACAAATATGTAGTGTCTGCTGTTCAACAAACTAATAATTTGTTGTTCTATTGTGTGAAAATTTAATTGGATGCCTAATTTGTTGTTCAGCTCTGAAATCTTCAAGATTGTTAGAGGATATGGCCACAAGAGGGGTTAAATATATAGATTGCTACGGTGTTGACAATGCATTGGTGAGTTTGTTTGTCTTGCTTTATGTTGTTTGGTTAAGATTTTCCTTTATAATTCTTGTTTAAAGGGACAGTGATTAGGGTCTCGAATGCAGGTTCGTGTAGCTGATCCAACTTTCTTGGGATATTTCATTGATAAAGGGGTAACTGCAGCTGCAAAAGTTGTCCGAAAGGTAGATAATGTTCTCAATGTTCATGCATATCTGAGAATTTTAGTTGCATCATTGCTTAACTCTTTTGACTATTTTATCTATATTTGAGAAATGGTATTAGGCTGGGTTGCAACAGTTCAAAGCTTTTTATTAATCTGTCTTGTTTTCTAAACTACCAGTGAAATACTTGAGTAGTGATATCTCTTTAAGCTTTCTTTGGGTATTGCAAATAAATATGAGGGAAAAAAACAACAGAAAGAAAACAGATAAACAAAAAGAGTGATTCATCTGATTTGCAGTTGATGAAACTTCATTGGTAGTGAATCATGAGCATGATATTGATGTTGAAAATTCCATTTATGGAGCTCTGCTTTGTCTTTTTGAATATGTAGGAATGATTGTGCCTTCCATTTGTTTATCTTTTGTGGCATATGTTGCACTTACCTGTTGTGCTTTATCTAACTTACCCCTATGTCATGTAATATATTAACGTGCTAATTTTTCCATGAATTATGCAGTACCATGTTTAACTCTACCTGCAGAATGCCAATTCCATGATGGCATGTTACTGCTTTATCTTTTTTATTTTTCTTGTGTAAACTTGTGGAACTTGATATTGTTATAAAGCTTAATCCTTTTAAGGTTTTATATTGTCTTAATTTCTTCTAGTACTTTGGTTACAGGCGTATCCCCTGGAAAAGGTTGGTGTTTTTGTAAGGCGAGGTAAAGGTGGACCTCTTACTGTGGTTGAATACAGTGAATTAGATGCTTCACTGGCTTCTGCAATCAATCAGCAAACTGGACGTCTTCGTTTTTGCTGGAGTAATGTATAGTCTTTTATCACTTTGATGAAATATTGCTCGCTTTTGACTTTATCTGGAATATGTGTGCAATAAAATATGAAGCTAAATATGCGTGATTATATATCTTATGCTAATAACTATATGCTTTTCAGGTGTGCTTGCACATGTTTACTTTGGATTTCCTAAACCAAGTGGCAAATGGCCTTGAGAAAGACAGCATGTTAGTGATGTTATTCCTTCCCTCAAGATACATATTTTGATCTGTTCTGTCTTTTACTTAAGCATTACTTTGTCAATTACTGTTTTTAACACGTTCCTACTTAACCTTAAAAGGATATTAATATCTAATTTGTTATGACTGCAGTTACCATCTTGCAGAGAAAAAAATTCCTTCCATTCATGGTTATACTATGGGTTTGAAACTAGAGCAGTTCATATTTGATGCATTTCCATATGCTCCTTCAACTGCTCTGTTTGAGGTGAACGCTTCCCCTCCCTTCTTTTTCTTGATCCAACTGATTTCCCTTTTATTTTCTGATCTTTTTTCACTGTATACGAGAAATGCAAGAAGGGATTAATTACTCATCTAATTGTTTGTGTTTCCAAAAATGCAGGTATTACGAGAGGAAGAGTTTGCACCAGTGAAAAATGCCAATGGTTCAAACTATGACACTCCAGACAGTGCAAGGCTGCTGGTTCTGCGACTGCACACTCGTTGGGTAGTTGCTGCAGGTGGCTTCTTAACACATTCAGTGCCGCTATATGCAACTGGTAAGTTCATAATTAATTTTGCATACTCTTTAATAGCAACCTCTATTAACGTTAGTTTTTTTTTTTGGATCTCTGAGTGGTTGATGGTGTATCGTTTGCCTTCTCTCATATATTTATGAATCCTTGACATATTTATGATGAAACCAGGTGTGGAGGTATCACCACTTTGTTCTTACACCGGAGAAAATCTAGAATCCATATGCCGTGGAAGAACATTTCATGCACCTTGTGAAATCGCATTTTAGTTTTGACTTATATTCTTGATTCGTGCAGCCTACTTGGTTGAACACGAGTACAGTCCATTGCATGGCATGGATGTATTTGGATAAATGGTGGTTCAAAATGCTAATGTACGAACCAAAGGTTTTGCAATATTTCAGGCTTGTGATTATATGCCATCCATTATCATTATTTACTAGTGCTACAATAATGCATCTGTCATTCTCACGTTTGTTTTGACTATCATTTGTCAATTCATAGATTCCTCTTCAGAACTCGAATAGGGTATTTCACCATTTGAACAGTTTTCTGTAACTCTGCTTCATAATCGTTACCCTTTTTGTGCAATTTGCACGTTAATGTTGTATGCAGAAAGAGCCTTATTCCTTGTAGGGGGAATCAATATTTGCAATGCAATGTATCGCGGTTTATATCAACTTGTAAAGTATTGTTTGTTAGAATCTATTGAACTTTAAGAATTTGTTCCACAAAAAACATCATATACGTTGAAAATGATTTGAACACTTAATTATTTAAGTCACTCTTCGACGGCATCGACTCTCTTCACCTTTTAACTTTGAAACAGTTGAGCGAATCTCACGTCCCTGAAGAAACCCCACCCCTCATTCAAAACGCACGAAAATTGCACCCCTCGGGCTGATTTGGACTAATTTCGTCCACCAGCCTAGAAGGTTTGAATCGTGGTCAAGCTCAGATAAAGCAGGGCTGCAGCGTGTCGTTAGCAAAACTAACATTTGAATTTGTATCGTTCATTTTGTAACAAGTTACGTAGCAAACCGTCAAAAAACATTATTAAATTTGCAAAGTAAATTTCCTTCAAAATGGTAAATTTTTCATTTTCTTTTGGCCAGCACTAGCAGTACATTGGCGAACATCCCAGTGTTATTGGTGCTCTTCAATCATTGGCTTGAGCCGAAGAATTTGCAGTGGCCTGATCCAACCCTTTAGCCATAATCATAGATCCATAACAAAAGGGTCCTTCAAAACAAATATTAATGCTTCTATGATGGGAAATGCTTCCGGCATGATAAGAGGGAAAAACGAACCACTGAAGGGAACTTCTACATACACACTATTGAGGAATGCATGGTACCTTTAATCATTGCGCAGAATACCCGAAACATACAATTTCACATAAAGAATGACATAGGATAAGTTATTGGTATGCTCACAATTATTTCTAAGGGACAAGAGAGTAATGTGGAAAAGTATCGTGGTGCTTGTTCAATGATAGGGTGGTACACCGACCAGGGGCTGCATCCCAGCCAATTGATGCTGGAGGAACCTATATACTGACTCTGTTGTTGTAGAAGCTATTCGAACGACTACACCAATTCCCTGAAACAGATGGCACAAACATTTCCTTATTCTTCACTATCAAGCTAATCTATTTATGTGAAGGGCAGCAGGTGCCTTGAAATTGGAAACTACTTGACATAGAATTTTCAAATAAATCAACAAAAATTGAGAAGATGGAAATATGAGTTAAAAAATATTGCATCTCTCTCTTCTCTTTTCCAACCCAACCCTCTAGTTCGCTATTGTACTGCACTGACATCAAAGTCAAATCTCTCTCTACCTGCTTACAGAGCAGTATCACTTCTGCTTGCAATCTTGTTTGTGCACACAACAGCATTATTTACGGCTTTGAGGGTTAGGGGGGTTATAACAAGTAAGCATGACTTCAATGCAATAACAGCAATTGCACTGTAGTGTAGCATCTAGATCTAATGAAAGTACCTTTGGACCAAAGACACTGCAAGAAGCAATAAAAGCTGGCCTGGTCAAACAATTATCTGAGTTTGTTTTAGCATGGTGCCCCAAGCTAGTGGAAGGAATGTGCAATTGCTGAGACATCATCCTCTTCACATTTTCTTGAACTTGGTCTTGAACAAGCTTCAGCTTTGGGCTACAAAAATGTTCATGTCACAAAACTCCTTTCGGCATAAATGAATTTTATAAAATCATATCAGCAAAATATAACACACATTAAAGTATATACCCATAGATTATGACCATTGCAATGACTTGGTAGTCGTGCATGCGTTCTGCTATATTGGCAGGGCTAGATTGTTCTAGCAATACCTATGATTAAAAAGAAAAAAAACCGAAAAGTATGAGGCAAATCAAGACAAAGTTCTACGAACTCGTGTCAAAAACTTGATTTCTACAAAATCAGTAAGATAACTTGTTAGAGGAAAACATTGATGAAGGAAAACACAATAAGAGAAAGTCATAGACAAAAACATAATTTATCAATGAAGCTATTTCTTAAATGCATAAGTATTAGAGACCATTAATAGATTGGCATTATGACTTGCAGTAGCAATGAGAATATTACGGTGTCAAGAAATACAGGTTGATTGCCTTCAGAGAATATATGGTTGGTGCTCCTGTAAAGTTCAAAATCCCATTTTTCCCCACTTTCATGACGACCACTGGTAAACCAATCAACAATGACCAAACTTGAGTCGGAAACCACTCTAAAGACCTGTTTCTGAAAATATCTTGCAGTGGAAAAACATGTGACCGGATCTGGAATGACTGCAAATAGAGCACCACTCCCAATTCTTGCCTACTGCATAGCAAAACAAAAATTAGCCATTGTCACTACAAGCATTCATCTGAACATGGTCAAAATGTAGAATCTTTTTATCAAATGTCTCCCAAGACTATTATTTTAAAATAAATTTGTGATTGTGCATCAATCTGCTTATGCATCTTGGGTAAGCACTAAAGAAGGATAGTTACCTCTAAGACTTGCTCAGAACACTTAGAGCCCGAAGATTTGTAGACCTATACCAGAACAAAAGTGATACCATGTCATTTTTTTTTTAAAAGGTGATACCATGCTAATAAATCAATTCAGTCATAATCCAATTTGTAGCGAATCCAAAGACTAGAAGATAAAGATCAAACCTTTGTAGAGGCTTGGGTAGTAAGGACAGCAGTGCAGCCATCTCCAATTGTAAATTCAACTGAAATAGAATCTCCCTAAGAGAGAAAGTGAAGCACATATTCACAACCAAAAAAAGAGAATGAAAGGAAGAAAGCTATGATACGAAGATTGATGATTGACTTAAGTGAGCATACGGAGACAATGCCACCGCCATAAGTGAGGCTGTAAATCCAGACAGCATCGGTTTCGGAAGGACCCACCTGAGGAATCATCAGCTTCAGTTCAGAGTTGGGAGATGAACGGTACACATAGGAATAAACAACCACATACATCATCTAATGTAAGGGAAAAGAAAGAACCTTTCTTGGGATAATGAACTTTAGGGGATACTTTGAGAAGCTTCTTGTCACAGTTGATTTTCCTCTCACCTTCTCCACTACGACCTTTCCCTTCTCCATTTCTTTCTCCATTCTCCACCAACTGCTTCTTCTACTCTCTCCGTTACTACTTCCCATAAGCAATATAAGTAATACAGGCTCATTGGGCTCCCCTAAAACTAAGACCCAATATCTTGGTGGGTTGGCTGCCTTTTCTTTTTTCCAGCTAGGAGGCCCAATCAAAGGTAAAGGAAAATAAAAAGGCCCAGAAGAGCAGCAAAACCAATCCCTCTCTTCTTCCCCGTCTCCATAGGGTTTTATCCCTGTACTGTATCTCAAAGAAAAAGGCTTCAGGGTTGTATTCTTGCATCATTTCATTTGCAGCTCATTTGATCCAGTTGAAGGAAATGAGCTTGGTTTTAAGATTAAGGCATCATTTACATAATGGATTTTTTTGCCGAAAACCCTTTGAGTCTCAGATTGTAACTCTCACTGCTTTCAGCTCAAACAGATTTTCTCGAAATTTTAGTCAACCTGCAAAGCAAGAACAGGAAGACGAGGAAGAAGAAGTTGAGATTGATCAGAGGAGACTCCCAGCCGACTATGACCCTACTAATTTCGATCCCACCGAACACCGTAGTCCTCCGACGGAGCGTGTTTGGAGACTCGTTGATGAAATCTCTGGCCTTACTTTGTCTGAAATTGCCGAGTTGGGGTCTATTATAATGAAGAAGCGTGGAATGACTGAGCCGCCAACTGTGGGAGTTATGAAGGCTAGTGCTGCTGCTGGCTTGGCTGGAATGGCAATGAAGGCGGCGGGTGGCGGGGCCGCCGCTAAGGAAGAGAAAAAAGCGGAGAAGACTGTTTTTGAATTGAAATTGGAGTCATATGAAGCTGCTTCAAAGATTAAAATAATAAAGGAGGTTAGGAGTTTTACTGATTTGGGTCTCAAGGAAGCTAAGGACTTGGTTGAGAAGACGCCCGCTGTCTTGAAAAAGGGAGTCTCAAAGGAAGAAGGTGAACAATTAATTGAGAAGATGAAAGCTCTTGGTGCTAAAGTTGTTTTAGAGTGAACATTAGACGAGAGGGATAGCAACAGGTACATTTGGTTTTCACCTTGGGATTTTTATGGATGTACTTGTTGTTTCTTAGGAAACTACAACTTTGCAAATTCTTAACAGCTAAAGAGTGATGTACCCAAATTTCATTCTCTTACTCTGTTGATCTTTTGAGCTTATCAAGTTGGAATTTTTTTTCTCAACAAATGGCCACAATATGTGGAAAATCATTCCATCTTTATTTCTTGAAGAATAATTTATATGATGGTTGATTATGTTGCTTAATTCCTTTCAAAATGCTTACTTGATGGTTATCCATCTTTAATTGTAATACAAGTTTCTTGCTTTTTTGGCCCTATTCTTTTAGTTCTGCATCAGCTATCCAGTAAAATTCACTTCAACTGTTAATCATCTGCTGCAGCTTCTGGGCCTGAGATGATGCAGTGAAAAACACTGGAGCATTCTCCAAAGTTGTGGATGGTTTGGCTGAGATTTATAATCCTCTGTTGATAAGGACAAATGCTCTGATACTCCTGGGGGAAGATGGTAACCCTGATATCATACTAACATGATATTGAATTCTATTTCGTCTGGTGACTTCTCCCTGTTGTTTCTTAGCTCCCCTTGTGACCCAATGTTCTCTTTCTTTCCCCTTGTAAGAATTTAGAAGAAGCGTTATTGAAGAATCAATTGCAAGAACATACTTCAGTTATAAGACTTGTTCCTGAACCAATGATGAATATTTAAACATTGAATCTGTCTAGTAGCAGGATTTAATGCTTCCTTCTATAATGTGCCTTGTGTACTTAATCCAATGACACAAGGCTACATTCTGTGTTTGAAATATTCATAGATGGTACTAATCTTCAGATAGTAGTCAGATTATTAATTAAAAGTAAACTTGAAATGGAAGAATTGGGACCAAGAATATGCAGTTGTGAATATGTGATGTAGTCTGTGTTATTGCCACCGACAAAAGTGCCTAGCTTTTTATCAATGATCTGGTGAAACTTTGTGAAAGGCTAGTTTAATTTGATTGCTCTTCGATCATGCTTTTATATTTATATGGTTGCATTCCTTCATTGTATATTCTCGAAGAAAAATGATTGCGGATGTCCGGCCAAGAATTGCTTAATTAACACTGAACTAGGTCAATGAAGAATGCGTTGCATAGACTCATGGCTGAAGCAGACTGAACTTGAAAGTCTCCCAAATTTTTGCCCAAGGGGATTTTTCTTTGAATTCAATAGGAGTAATAAAGAAACTGATTAAGCATTTGCTGGTTTGAGTATCTTTCCAGTTCACTACTTCACTATGAATCTGTGGTAACAGAAACTTAAAGAATGAGGGACATTTAAAAAGGAGAGAAAGATGGGCCTCAGAATTTTGCCATTAAGGTCAAAGTGTCAGGGGCTTTGGACAATCTAAATTAAGCTCTCATTCTCTATTATTTTGCAAACAAAGAACAGCAATAGAGGTCCAGTACAAAACTGCAGGATCAACTTCAAAAATTTAAATATAAACACAACATTTCTTATGCTGTGAATATACAGTCATATAAATTGCACAACAATGTGGCATACTCATGCATCCTCCCGCAACTACAGTCTTCCCCATTGGAGCTAGGCTGAAGCATGAGGATGAACCGAGGCAAAATGGAGACTGCAAGTATCAATGCCTAAAGTGCCTCACATTGGTGAAAACTAATGAAACTCCATACTTGTTACAACAGTCCACGGCATCCCCATCTCTAATGCTCCCACCAGGCTCAGCAATGACTCCAATACCACTTTCGCAAGCTTCTTCCACTGCATCGTTCCAAGCTGTTTATAAAAAGAACACATCATTGTTAACAAACAGATTATAGAGGCTTTTTGCTAATTCTTGGTCTACATTCAGCTTAATATATGTTGAGGAATCATTCCTCCATTGCATGCCTGCAAGCATGGCCATTTACTTCCTAACATTCTCCACTACTTACTTGCTTAACTTACAAGCAAAATATGATTTTTTTTAACAACATTAAAGTGCAAAAGCTTTCAAAGGTAATAATTACCAAATGGGAAGAATGCATCACTAGCCAAAGCAGCTCCTTTGACCTCATCTCCTGCTTTCCTCAAAGCTATTCTCAAACTCTCCAGACGGTTTGGCTGGCCGCTTCCCATACCCAACATACGATTGTCCTGACAAATGATGTCAAGGGTTAGAAGATCTTACAACATTATGCCTTTCTTTTCATGGCTACTTTGTCCCAACGTTTTTTAGAAGAGGGAGGAGAACTATTATCTAAAAGAATCTGTGCCAACAAGGTCATTTAAGCACTGGTTTGACCAGAATTTTGGACATCCTAGCAAAAGATAAAATACAAACCTTTGCTATTACAATAGCATTGCTTTTGACATGCTTAACACATAGCCATGCAAATTCTGCATCACGAAGCTCACTATCTTGTGGCTTCTTCTCAGATACTACATTGAACTGAATATCTTCGGGGGTCAAGTCATCTGAATCCTGGGCTAACCAACCACCACCAACTTGTCGAAGTGAGAGCTTTCCTTTCTCATTCCTCTTTGCCTCAAGGATCCTCAATGTCTTTGATTTTCCAAGGAGGATCTCAAGCCCCTTCTCTGTATACTTAGGAGCCACAACAATCTCATAAAACATCCGAGTTTCACCATCTGTTGGGCTTCGGAACTCTCGGATCTCCCTAGCAAGAGCCTAAAAGCCAAACAAAGTAAGCAATCAAAATGTGTCTATCACTCTTATCTTGATGTTGAGGGTAGCATACAAATAAAATGATATTCAACAATCACACACCCAACATATAGGAATATAATGGCAGCACAACTCCATATAATGCTTCCAAGAAGCTTGTTAACTTACCTCATCTACTTCTATGTTGAAGGCTACAATTCCTCCAAACGCACTCACTGGATCTGCTTTCACAGCCAGCCTGTAAGCCTCAAGGATATCATCACGAGAAGCTACCCCACAGGGATTTGTGTGCTTTACAACCACACATGTAGGGTTCCTAAACTCCGACACGCAGTTCCATGCGGCATCAGCATCTAAATAGTTATTATATGACATTTCCTGTACCAAGATAAATAGAATTAAGGATATGCCATGGAACAAAACTGACAAGCAAACATAACACAGGCTGAGACCTAAAATGGAAGAAAAAGAATAAAAATCATCATACTCTAATTTGTTGAGGCTTTTGAGTCCACAACTACAAATCTAAAAAAAATAGCAATGCAAAAAGACACCTTTTAGAAATAGGCTACAATACAAATTCTAGCAGGCTTTGTATAATAGAAGAAAAAATATTGTTGTCACAACACAATATGGAAAGGCGGAAGTATGGCAACTGAAAAGCTTCATATTCCTTCACTGAATTTATCAACAGAACAAAGCTGCATAAAATAGTAAAAGCAAATACTTCCTTGGACAAGAAAAGGTAGGAAGGAAAAACATGCCAGTTAATTCAGTGTTTCATCCATTCTTTAAATTATTCGCAAGCATAAACAATCACAAGATCACAGACTCAATCCATCTCACCTTCCCATGGTGTTGAATAGCTGTTGCAATACCACCAGCATTGATCTCAGAGAGACTCTTGTCAATGTAAAATGCAGCCTTCTGATGAGGATTTTCACCATATCGAAGTGAACTTTTGAGGGATAATGGAAGTGTCAAGTTGGGAGGGAATTTATCTTCCAACAGATAAAGAATTTTGTCAATCAAAATTGTAATGATTATAGATAGCACTAGAAAAACAAATTGAATGAGTTTGTCACATTGCTTTTTCAAAGAAGACAATTAAATTGTTCCCTTATTATTTCATAGTATATTTGGTTAGTCAGCCCTCAGCTTAAAGCATCAGAAGTCTCATTCTTTTCTTCCAAACATCATCAAATGATTAGAGACCATTTCCAGAAGAATGACCAAATTTATATTTTGTAGCTAAACTTAAGTAAGAGAATACCTCCCACAGTTTGTTTCCAGAGCCACTCTGAAACTGCAGAATCATAAGAAGCAACATGCTCAAAAGCCTTCCAAGCAAGCTTTCTCCGGAACTGTTGATCATCCTGACTGCCTTTGAGGTATTCAAGGAGTGCAGGATAGTCTTGTGAATCAACAACAACCAAGACATCCTTGTGATTCTGTTTAAACGAATGTGTTATTTGCAGTACAAAATAATTAAAATAAAAAATGCTTAACCTATTCAACTTGAGTTGCCCTTCACCACCAATGTGTTTCAATTACTTGTTCAGATTTGCTTTTTTATCAACTTGGTAATGGATAAAGACTGTTTATTGGAACATGAAACTACATGAAATCAGTTCCAGTTAATACACACTTGGGGCCGAGAAATACAGCAAAAGCGTACAACTTCACTACTAAATCATTAACAATTACCTTCGCAGCAGCTCTAATCATGGCAGGGCCACCAATATCAATATTCTCTATGCCGTCATTAAATTCAATTCCTCCGGTGGCAGTAACTTTATCATAAAAGGGATACAAGTTCACAACCACCACATCAAATGTACCTGAACAGAAACTATTTTAGCTAAAAGACTAAAAAAAAAAAAGAGAAAGGAAGATAAAATGGTGGGAAAAGAAGTCTTTATAAATAAAAGAGTTTCACAAGTTTAAAACTTACCAATTCCATGCTTATTAAGAGCTTCCATGTGATGTTTTTGGTCTCTTCTAGCAAGAATACCACCATGTATGTGAGGATGTAAAGTTTTCACACGACCATCAAGCTGTAAAAGACACTACAGTTAATCTCCAAACTTAATCACCTTCAGAGCTGAAATCAAGGCACACTAGTGATGACATGAAATCATTAGGAAAGTATGGTGATCAATCATTAATAGAGAAGATAATGAGTTGCTTTGACTTCTTGCTCAAGTCTCTTTTATCTCATTTTCCTACAACAAATTTATTAGCAAAACAGCTACAAGCATCATAAATTATCAGTGAGGATGTCATAATCACTTGATTCAGTTTTCCCCCTTAAATGGTCCTAGAAGCTGTGACGAGGACATGCTATATAAAAACAAAACTATTTAAGCAGGACAGGACGTCACAGAATAAGAACCAGCTTACCATTTCAGGGAAACAAGTAAGCTGCTCCACTTTGGTTACAGGGACACCAGCACTTTCCAAGGCAGATGCAGTTCCTCCAGTCGAAACAATTGTGTACCTATAATTTTAAAAGAAGCAAGTTCAAACCAAATTGGCTTCAAAACTGCAGCTTTACAGTTTCAAAAGAAAAAAAAAAAAAACTGCTTCTTTACATTTTACACTGATAATGATTACACAGACCCTACCAACTCCAGTTGAAAAAGAAGAACAAAGAAAAAGCAACAACAGTCCATAGCAAACAATGCGTAAAAAATATGAAAATATCCAAAAAGAAAAAAAGGGTGTCATTTATTTACCCTAATTCTTGAAGGCCATTGCCAAGAAAGGCCAGGTCCTTCTTGTCGGACAAAGATATCAATGCTTGCTTATTGCCTGACAGGGAGCAGAAAAGCCATAAAAAACCATCTCCTTTTTTTTGTTAAAAAAAATATTACATTAGGGAAAAGGGAAGGCAAGTACAGTACCGGGGGCAGAGGACTGCGGGTCGTGTTTTGGAACAGCGAGGGTTTGCGAGTCAGCCATGGCTTTGGTTGAAACAGAATTGCTGGAGCGTAGCGATAGAAAACGAAAGCGACCGCAGACAATCGAGTGAAACGAAGGAGAAGGAGAGGGAGAAATGAGAGTATTCCTTTGGAAGGCGCAGCGAACGGTGTTGAGAGTGCTCTCCGCGTGGGCAGCGTTGGCGGCGGTGGTGGCGGCAGTAGTAGAAGAATAAGCAGCTGCCCCAAACATCTCTCTCTTTCTTTTGTTTTTGTCCCACTCCCACACACTCTCTCCTTAAATAGTGGCAGTAGAATCTTCTATCATTTCTACCGCTGTTTCTTATTTTTCATTTTATTTTTTTCTTTAACATTCATGGTCTTATTTTTCGGTTTTAGTAATGGCTTGTTTGAATCGTAATCAACGTATCTAGAGCAAAAATTTTTCTATAATCTTCGGATACTGAAAACTTGTGTGCGGATACAATAAAAGAATATGAAATATACATTACTGTTTAATATACAAAAGGTAAAACTCTTAGTAGAGAGAATTCAGGGTTTCCATGGCGAAAAAACACACTCTGCGACGCTTAAGCCTAAACACCATTTACAGAATTGCTATGGCAGCATTGCTGACAGTAAAAGAAGGGGAAAAGAAAACTTGTTAGCATCTTCAAGAGGGTCAGCAGGGTGCAGTGAATGATGATGGATTGATACTTTGATTGTCCATCTTTAATGTCCATGGAACCAATGTCAGTCAGCGCAAATAAATACAGAATCTCCACAGTCAACCCTACCTGCAAAATAAAATTTTCCCATTAAATCTTTGTTTTGTTTTGATTAGAAGATTTAGGGCTGTGACTAGTTTGAACCTTGAACCAATACCTCTACATTCAAATCTCTTGCAGCCAAATTATCAAATGCTTGAAAAATTTTACTAACAAACATAAAAGAAATTGCGGATGGTTACTTGCTTGTTGACTCTAAATTTCATTGATGACAAGCATGACAATCAATTACTGAAGTCGAATACTTCAATCACCTCCGTTAGACAAGTTCTTTAAGTCGAATACTTCAATCACCTCCGTTAGACAAGTTCTGTAACGTCACCTAACGAGAGACATGTTTGGAATGTAGCTGTTTTGATACCATGCCATGCAACTGAGGGGGACCTACTCCTACATTATGTTGGTCCTGAAATAAGAGCAAAATCCTGATGTAAAAAAATCAGAGAAACAAAATCCCAGAAAATTCCAAACAGCACCTTGAGTACCATGTCTTGTATATCATCTTGAATGTCATAACAAATGGGAATAGTTTGTGGTCTGAAGTGTAATTGTCCCTGTGAAGGCACAACAGGCATCATTATTTAACAAGATTAAGGAGCTTATTCAAACACAAAAGATAATTTGAGAAGAGCTCAATACAAGGGAACCATACTTCTTGTGGTATGGCCCTGGAAGCATGAAAACCCCTCAATACCATCATTATCCGTATAAAAGGTAAAGTTCTCAGCAATCACATAACAGAAAGCCATACCATCCCATGCATTCTTTGTTGAGTAATGTAATGAGCATCATGTGGTGGGGCAATAGAGTTCAATTGTCCCTGCAACAAGAATGAAATCATACCGTCTAAGAATTGTGCCGACGAACATAAACCAACATGCTTGTAAAACCATATGAATTTATCCTATGTTGATTATTAGAAGTCTATAAGAACCATATAAAATCCTTGATCAATAACTAGTTTATTGGCAAAATCCTAGATCAATAACCAAATAATCATATAAGGACACTTTTCCATGATGAGGCAATCTCATACCACTCCCTGCACAAGTTGTTGAGCACCAAAATAGCTATCAATAGCTGGAGTTCTTGAATTCAGTTGTTCCTACAAAAACAACCCAAGAATTTTAGTAAAACTGTTCATGTGGTTGAAATGGTACAAGTTTCTTTTCCACATTATGGTCACTGAAAGACTAAGTCATACCATCCCACGAATACTCTCTTGTGACTCATAAGAACATTCAAGGCTTGGCACTCGTATATTTGATTGTCCCTGAAGCAATTTTGGAATTCCTATTACGATATTGTTTTACAATAAAATTTCACAAGCAGAATTTCTTAGGGGAATAGTAAAAGTATGTTAGAACAGGCACACAACAACCACTAACCATTTGTTGCCAGCTGTCAGGCATCCCAGAGTTTGAGATCTCTCCTTCTGGATATCCCTAAAAGATCCAAAACAGGTATGATGAAAATCATAGAGGTTGGGTTAAAAATTAGAATTTAATAACCATTACAGCAGAGAACTCCCTGACCTGTCTTTTTTGGGATGCATTAATCCTTTTTACTGCCTTGGATGTGCTGTTACTTTGGTTCAATTCTTCAAAGTGACGAGAGCCTTGAGTTTGTGGCGACATCAGTTCTGTTACACCCCGAATTGAGCAATTGACACTCTCGCATTTTCTCAATGCTTCTTCCAGAGCATTGAGTACAATATTGTAACTCTCCTGAGACAAAGACCCTTCATCACCCAATTTAAAGGCCCGTTGGCAAAGATCATTGTAACGTTGCATTCTAGTCTCAAGAACATCTGATTCTTCTCCTGTGGTTTGTCTACTCTTTGCATCCTTTGTCCAACGTTTCAATATATGTTGTGAAGGGATGCTTTGAACCCCAGACAACTGCAGAATAATCAGTATATGTCTACAAGGAAAGCCATTAAATTCAAAACCACGGCATAAACAAGATAAATCTGATGTTGCCTCATTCCACACCACAATAAAATCTTGATTTTTTTCAAAGTCTTGAACCTTAAAAGTTTTAGTGCCTCCTTGTTCACTTTCTTTTCTTGGGTGACAAGCAATCCCTCCCAAAACTTCAACCTGGAATTTTTTAAATATTGCATGTGTGTACAAAGGAGACATTTGTTTTTCAAAAAGTGATGGAGATTTGAACTGAGGTGGTTTATGCCAAGTTTCAAAATCAGCTTTAGCTTCCTCTTCAGACTTCTCTCGTAGAAGTGTTTCATACTGATCTAAAAACTCTTTTAACATAGTTTTCCTCTGCAGATATTTGTCAAAGAGAGAGCTTACACTGTCTGAACGTTGCATTGTAGATATTCCTGCAAGAAAAACGCCTCTCATGTAGGCTGGTACCCATTGTTGACGATCTTCATATAATGATTGAAACCAGATGTCATTTCTTAAATTGAATCCATCAACCAATTCCCACCATTTCTTTTCAAACTGCTCATCGGTATAAGATTTAAAGACACATTCATCAAATTTGGTCATGAAATTTTCATGTTGCCCCATCACATAACTAAGCTTCTCGGGTATCTTGCTCACTATATGCCACAAGCAAAAACAATGACGGGAATCAGGAAAGACCTCTGCTATAGCTTCTTTCAATGCCTTGTCATGATCAGTTAGTATTACTTTTGGAGGTCGTCCACCCATTGCTCTAAGCCATGCCCGCATGAGCCAGGCATAAGTTAATTTAGTCTCATCAGCAACTAACGCACACCCAAGTAACAGAAACTGAAAGTGATGATTCATACCAATGAAGGGAACAAATGGTAACTTATATTCATTCTTAATATAAGTGGTATCAAAAAAAACCACATCATAAAAATAGCCATAATCAAGCCTTCCTTTGGCATCAACCCAAAACAAGTTTCTCAAGCGCTGCTCTTCATTGAGATCTATAGCATAAAAGAAGTTAGGATTTTCATCTTGCATACAGAGAAAATGATCAAGCAAGGCTTTAACATCTCCCTCCTCTAAACCCAAGAGCTGACAGCTACGTAATCGATTTGTGTCACCACTCTTATGACTCTCAAGTTTCTTGTGCCCACCAAATTGTCTGGACATGGAAACATACATTTTTTTGGTTCTTCCATGCAATGTATGGACGTTACTATTACCTAGACCTAAATTTCTATGACCTCCGGAGAAATATGCCTGGTCTGGAAATATATCATGGTTATGCTCCTTGATGAAACTACGAACAATCCACCTTCCATCTTGCCTTCTCTTCACATGCATGCCGGCTTTGCAGTCTGTTTTTGACCATGATCGGTTAACTCTACCTCTTTTCTTCTTGACAGGAATGGTTGTTGGAATATCTGCGCTTGGAACTGGTTCTGGAGTCCCCACTCCACCAGACTCTCGCTCATTTCCATATCTAGTGCATACAAACTTTGCATCAATAAACTTCCCAGAAATTCTTGATCGACGGCTAGCTTTTATTATAGTGGTAAAGCCGACAAACTTGGCGTATTCTTTGTAGAATGAAAAAGCTTCCTCCTTTGATTCAAATTCCATTCCATCATGAGGCTCTAAATTCTTCACAGAATTCAAGTTTATTTCACCTCCAGTGTATGCTCTGGGTCTTGCATCTACTACCGCTACACCAACATTTCGCCCACTGTTTCCCTCATCATTCCCGCTGACTCTGCCTCTGTCATGCCTTCCATCACCACCCTCCATCATGTTAATGTTCACATTGGGTCTGTTGTCTTCCTTATGATACTCTCCAGACGGAAGCTCAAGATCAATCCCCGTGGGAACCATTCCTTAATCCTTTCTTAACCCAAATCGCAAGAGAGAAACAATCCACACATGTTCAAGATATCAACTGAAAGTAAAGTTCCCACATCAATATAAACTGCTTTCAAATTCAACCCAAGTGAGGGAAAAAATTGCAAATTCCGAAACTTTTCTGAAAAGACAAATGAAAGATTGAAACTTTGACAAACATATCAGTAATTGGGTTATTTGCAAACATATCAGTGAGCATATTTCAATCAAATGATTGAAGAAATAAGATAAACCAAAGATGGAAATCAAAACAGCTGAGACCATGCATATTAACTCAACCCAAACTATAAAGCACACTGCTGTCAATGAAAAACAAAGCCAACGGCTACCAGAGGTATAAACCATGGAAAATTGTTGGTATTGGAAGCTAACTAAGAGCAAAAATATTTCTTTTTTCTTTTAAAGAATAAGGGCGAAAAACCCCGAAGGAAATTAAAGAGTGAAGGAGTTTACCTGAGTTGAAGCAGGATTTAAGGGAGGATTTGATCAGTAAGCAGGCAAAGAGAGAGAGAGAGGCTTAAGAGCGAGTAGACAAGAAATTTAGTTAGGGCAAGCATGAGACGAGAATGCCGTACTCGCAATCTTTGGCATATGCCATACTCGCCTGTCCCTGTGTTTTCTAGTGGTAGTGGGCCGTTCCAATATTTTCAGCCCAAAGATTATGAAACAGAACATATGGCCCAAAATTAAAACACAGTTTTAAAATTTTTGGGCCTAGGCCCATCAGTCCATTCCATATGTCCTTTTATGGGACAAATTGGACCCTTGGACTTTGTTTGAAAATTAATCCAATAAAATCGAAAAAATGATTCGTCCATTTCGAAATGAATACGATCAGTTTTAATTTTAAAATTCTTTTTTATTTAATCGAATTAATTGGTTTAGGATTATGAGCAATTATAAGAAAGTATACAACATAGAAAGAATAAAACTAAGAGAATTGGGTTTGGGTTCAAACATTTTGGTTGATTCAATTACTAACCAAATTAATCGGCTAATCCTTTATTTTGGACTGATTTATAAATTATACTCTTGAAATTTTCAAAACGTAGTGCTAAGTTATATAACGGTCACAAAGAGTGTATGACAGGCACATCCAATAGCTTAACGTCATATATGTCCAATTTGTAGTTCTGAATTTTTTATTATTTTTATCTTTTTTTTGTCTTCCATTAAGGTTAGTATCAAACTAATTTTCTGACCTAAGTGAAGCATGTTCTTGGTGTTTAATTAGCCTTGATTTCCTTTGAATAGATTAATAAAAAAAACAACATGTTTATAATATTTATAGGCTGGAGACTACATGAATCACATGACTCCCTAGTCAAAATGTTGACCTACATATAATAATACCCAACTTTTTAATTAATAGATTTATCCATGTTTTGGGAAGCATTAATTAATTAATAAAGCATGATTAACCTAATTGTCTAAAAACAAGTGACAACACCCACAGATTGTTTATACCACTAAATTTGACCTTCGACTGTAATTTTTCTTATAATATCGTTAAAATTCTTTTTAATTGCACTCGTTTTACCTTTTAATAATATTTTTATAAATTAAATTATACTGTACAAAATGTGTGTATATATATATATATATATATTGACATGGTCGGTTTAGAGTTGAAGAAATTCAAGACATTGACTGTTCAAATGTTAATAAAGTTATCTCTTTTGTATGTAAAGAACCCAAAACTCAAGGGAAAAAAGAAATAGAAAATGTGGAATTAGCCAAAAGGAAGAGTAACAATGAAAATCCAAGGAAGATAGAAGAAGCCGCCCTGAGTTGGATGGATTCTTTTTATCTTTGTTTTATAGGTGAGTGAAGTATTGTTTTGTGGGAAAGAGAAGCAGCTAAGATGATCAAAGCTTTGAAACCGCGTGGACACTGACACGACAAGGTTTAACAATGTCAATGGAAATCATTCTTTTTTAAACCCCAAAACAAAGGGGAAAATGGGGTTGCGAAGCCCATGTTCTATGCACATGAGAGACACTCTGAAAATATATATATACCAATATATATATATATATATATATATACATATATTTATCAGGACAGCACCCAGCAGCTACATATATATTCATGCAACCAAATCCACAGATAGAATCTGCAGTAGCTGCAGCATCCAAGGCAAAATTTTTTAAAACCTAAGCTCTTGTTCTCACATTGACCAGTTAAAGTTGAACCAAAACCCACTATGCAAGCAAGGCTTTCGTCAATGGTTGAATTGTTTAGATACATATTTATAGCCTAGCTAGGAGGATGTCTATGCTAAGAGTATAGTTGAAAAGAATACTAAGAGAGTTGAGTATTCAAGAAATTTTCTTGAAAAAAGAAAAATTGTACGATGACATACTTAGAAAGAAAACATAGATGCATGCATGGTTAATATCCACGAACTTGGACATACATGGATACATGGTTGGATACCAACTGTTTTCAAGCTATAGCAAGTAGAGTTTTCTATTGCTTCAGGTGCATTTTTGTGTGTGTGCGTGATGACATACATGCATAGTTTTGAACTTGTGAAAGCAAGAAATTTACAAGTTCAAGATGTGAACAAACAGACTAAATGAAAATATTGGTGTGTGATCGATGTTACCCAAAAGCTACGAAAATTTTCAAGTTGACTGACATTGTAGCCATATAATTTCAATATGGGGTTTCAGAGAGCACTGCATCTGCATTCCATGCTTTAATCTCGGTAAGTTTTGTGTTTGTCGGAGAGAGGGGCCGCAGAGATCTTCGTTATACATCTTGGATGTCTCGCAGTGAATGTCTCTGTTCACACAGGCCTGACAAATAAGCCACGCGATCTTTAATCAGTTTCTCAGGCAAGCAGCAGCAGCAAGCATGTGGTTTTCTTTCTTTCCCTCCTTTCCCCTTTTTCTCTATATTAGTACAAAAATTTTCAGTATTTCTCTGGCCCTGCAAGTCCAAGCTGCCATGTGAAAATGTGATCCCCCCTCAGGCAGTAGGACCCCCTCGTCCCTTGCAGTCACAGACGACTCAATCAATCAACTTGCCCAAGTTTTCAACCCCTTTGAGTTTTGACTTGTGCCCTTGTGCCTTTGTGCCTGTCCTCCTCCCACTTGACACCCACCTACTCAACAAAAATGGGTTAATCTGGATCCAATTATCCACCCATTATCAGTACTTGTATTTTATGTATTCAATAAGTCTTTCCTTCACAGAAGCATAAATAATTAAACAGGTCACCTGTAATTTATAGAAAAAAGAAGAAAGAGAGACAGAGATAGTGTAAAGCAGGTCCACATGAAAAAATATAATATATGGACTGTCAATTTCAAGTCATCTCATATGATTTTGAGTCAAATTATGATTCCTGAGGTCTGACGTTTTAATAATAGTATTTTTGTACTTTCTCAGCATGTTTTTACCACCATGGCCACTGCCTTCAATCATTCTTTCCACTCCTTGCCGATCATGTCCCTGCTCTTCCAGTAAAATTCCACGCTCACTCCATTTCTTTACCCTGAATCTTGTTTAAACAACCTCACCTAGGCTGGCCAGGTAACTAATTAGGCTGTAGTCGTCCAAGCCAAGGATTTTGACATGGAAATCCTTCATGAACATGCCTGTCCAGGAAGGATTTGGGATTCAAAGAGATTTCCTTCGAAGCTGGGCTGAGAAGGATAGCAAATCACTGTAAAAAGGAGGGAATTGTACCAAACTTCTACTTTATGCGGTCTAGACTGAGTGAAACCCAGAATCATTTCACCTTTGCAGAGTGAATTGCTTACATATAAGCATTCCTACTCCTACATAAAAAGTCGATATTTGAAAAGCAATATACTATTATAACCCTGCACTGAAATGGCCACCATGTGCTCTTTGACGTTTAAAGCACTACAAAATGGTGGTAATAAGAAAGAAAATACAAAAATATACACCAAATATACGTTATTTATTACAAATTCATCCATACTGTGCGGTAGAAAACGATATCTACACATTTAGTACCAGGAATGTTGGTTACATAATTTTTACATGGAAGTGGGTAAGTAATACACATGATTGACAAAAGTTCGTAAAAGTTCATGAACTGATTCCTTATTATATCTCAGTTCCCAGATAGAAAATTTCAAGGGCAAACCGTTCGAAACGATATGTGAAGAGACATGCTTCTTGTACAGGCATTGAGCACTTTCCTTTCTAGTTGAAATCTAAGTAAAGTAAAGCTAGCCAAGCTTCAACTCAAAAAGTTAACCATCTTCGCTTGTAACGCTCTTTTAACTCGTTGCGGTCACATGGGCTATGAAATATTTGGCTTTGCATGAAAATCTACGTTAAAAAATAGGTCTTTGAATAACAGAAACCACAGCAAGCGCCACTTCCACTCTCTCCCTAGGAGCGTGATTGCACTTCCTCGCCCCCCTCTATATATGTTCCCAAGCAACCTCACCACCCAAATCTGGCTGATCCCCCTCACGGTCTCACCCTCACCTCATCTTGTTCGTTTCAGTTTCACCACTCACAAATCCACTTAACACCCCTCCCTTGTCCTAGCTAGACGCAGAAGTCGAGGAAGAGAAAAACGATGGCACAAATGTGGCTTCTTTGGTGGCCAAAAAACACCTGCACCACCCCCAAAAGCGGCGACGATACAGGTGCAGCCGGGAGCACCGCGACCACAAGGGCCACGACGGGTAGAACGTCCTCATTGGGCAAAAATGGGACGGCAAGGAGTTGTTGTAACTGTAGGTGTCTGGCAAGGTTCATGAGGAAGGTGAAGAAACAGAGCAAGGAGATGGTGCGCTCTGCAGGAGCAAGTAGGCAAAGTTCATTCCAGTGCCGGTATGATCCATTGAGCTATTCTCTCAACTTTGATAGAAGCGGGTGCGGGAGCTCAGTAGATGATGAAGATTACTATCAGTTCTATGCATTCTCTTCAAGGTTTGTGGCCAATCCAAGATCTAGAAGACATTGCTCAACCCACATGCTGCCTGCTGCTTCTCAACGTAGTCCCTCTACCATTTCTTCCTAGTTTTCTTCCCTTTTTTCCATGAGTTGTGATTATCATTTTGTTATTTATCAAACAAAGACTACGTATCATGTATACGTTTATGGAGGAATGAGGAATGAAATCTCTAGTTTAAACCCAAAACCGGAAAACAATGGAGTTTCTCGCTGCCTCCCATTGATTTTACTGAACTTTGATGATAGACAAGGGAGCTTGTTTTAATGGAGTAGATGATCTAAACAACTCATAATGTTTACTATTAAAAAGAAATCAGATCATGGAGTTGTTCTGTTTTGTTGAATTGGTTCTAACACAAAGCTCGTAAAGATTCCATTTCATTGCAGATGATAACATCACAAGAGAGAAAAAGAGAAAAGAAATGCCCGCAGGCATCCATGTGCAGGGGGGCAGCTACCATGTCCAAGTGAATTACTTAAGAATGCTGAATCTGTAATTAATTTATTATGGGAGACAAATACCCATAATTGACGGTCAGCTTGTTCTATAGTTAACGTTGCATTCAACAACCAATCCAAAATTTGAATCGGATTAGTTTAATCCCACAAGTTATCGATTCCACAACAGTATGTTTTTCATGCATTCCAAGCCAACCTGCGCTCGAGTCACTTCACTTCTTTTTAGTCCATGGCGGTGCTGCAATACCGTATTGTCACAGTGAAAGCAAGGATGATCAGTAATGCTCAACAACATTCTACCAATATAATACTAAACCAGACTGATTCCGAGGCATAACTCAAGAAAGAAGTCACCCCACAAGATACTATCGAAATATTTATTACACACAAAGAGACTCGGGTCAATCCAACCTGACCTACGATTCGTAAATGAATATGTGTGTATATATATATATATATATATATATATATATTACAACCCACACACACAGACACAGAGAAAAGAAAAGCAATTTGTAACCAAACCTAGGAAAATGGGTTTGTCTGAAAAGGTATCTATAAACATCTTGCAATTTCAAATCAACCTGTAGCAGCACATACTTGGAGAAAGTGTCTTTTGCTCAGAAAATTGGTAATACATGGGGCACTTTTTGCACAAGTTTTCATTCTGCCGCTGCAGCAAAATTCACTAAATCATGTGTTATACATACCCACGATCCATGCTACATTAATAATGCCAAAGTATATACTAGCTAGAGTGATCATCACATTCAGGAGGATGAATTTTACAGTTATGAAATAAAAAATGGCACAGCTCAGTTATTTGGAGAGAGTAAATGTGGCAGAAGCTTACTGCGACATGAAAGAAACTTTCCTCCAAATTCCATGACCTGGTTAGGTCAGCTGATACGATCGTCATTATGCAGATGAAAATTCCATTGTCTTCTCCGCAAATAATAGCAAGCTCTCAAACTGGAGGCAAGATGACAAAAGAAGCAATTGCCAGCATGCAACACTATATATTTCATTTCCTCTTACAGAAACTTTACACTAGAGATGTCCTAAGTGATCCTATATACGCTAGTTAATCACTCACTGCATCACGCCTACAAAAATTCGAGCACATCAAAGAATAATTATTTTCACTGTTTACTCCAGTATAACAGCTATGGTTCATGGTCACTCACAGGATGATCTGACACAGTGCCTTCTGATGATATTTCCTCTACATCAGGCTGTTCAGGCCGAGAAGGATCAGACTGAGTCTTGCTAGAATCCCCACTATCATGCTCATCTCGTCTCTCCTCTGGCAGCTGATCCTGTACATCAATAGGAGAGCTCTGCTTAGCCATTCTTTTGTCAGACACACCTTGTGAATCTGGATATCCGACTTCATTAACAGATTTTGGCATTGGAAGCTTGCTATCAAGTAAACTTGAATTTGTCATGCCAGAAGATGATGACAAGTGCGGGCCAGGAGCAACACAAGATGCTACCAGTTGTAGCACTTCAGGGGAAGGGGATAACCCCATGCTTGATTTCTTTGGTGGAATTAGGTATGCTGATGAAGATGAGGGATTCATCATATTTAAGTTAAGAGGAGGCAGGTTGAGATCAGATTCAATCCAAGGAGGACCTGCAGTTCCAGTTATTGACTGTGGAAGCAGTTGAAATGGCGGGGCTAATGGAATTGTGAATGCTGGAGGGAGGCTGCTACTTCCAGCAGCATCTGGTAGGACCTGCCTGAACATATGCGACTTCCGCTTCTTTTTCTTCTTTAGACGTCGCCTCGGATCCTTTGGTTGGGAAGGAGGGGGCCCAGGTACCACAAATGGGGGAATGGTTGGCTTATCTTCTCCATACAGCACACGAACTGACTGAGCGATTGCTGACACAGTGGGTGGTAGATCAGGATCTGGTGGTTTGGCAGCAGTGCCAACAGCTTCCCGAAGCCAATGAGGTAACTTGTTATTGGAAGAACTATTTCCAACTACTTCTTTTCCCCTTGAATGGGAAGGATTCAGCACTTTATTTGGATCAGGGAGCAATCCAGAGCTGGCAGATTCACCACTTCCACCATTATTGTGCGAATCACGTAAAATATGAAGCGATCTATCAAGAAGACTAGGCAACTTCCCATACTTCGTTGAACCATAATCATCCTCCTTCCTGTGTAAATCATAGCTACTGGAGCAATTCAGACTTGAACCCAAGTTGCTGGCTCCAAAAGAGTTGAGGAAAAAAGGTTTCTCACTAGGTACATTTGAAGAAGGGCCTGGCCTATCAGAGGGTCCAGCAATTGAATCTCCAGAAAAGCTTGCACGAAATTTGTCAGGATTCCATGTTGGAATAGGAGGAAAATGATCATTTTGCAAACCAAGTTGCTCTGATGGCTCAAAATGAGACAGGCTGGAAGCTAGATCACCAAAACCCAATTTCATATCTGTCAAGTGGGATTGAAATTTTGATGGTGCAACAAATCTACTTCCCTGCAATGCCCGTGTCATCATTCCATCAGGAATGCTCGGAAACAAGGTAGAAGCTTTGGTAGTTTTTGTTGGCTTGGTGAATTTTGGAACTGGGAAAGCTGGCCCATCCAAAATCTTGAGTTGTTCCTCCTCCCACCTAGTTGCCAATTCTTCTGAAGTTTTATATTTCGAAAACTTTAGCCTGGGGTCTCTAAGCATGGCCTCCCAATTCCCTCGTCCATGTCTACGAACACCAATCCAGAGAAAATCAAGTTCATCCTCTGACCAGCCCTCTAACTTTGATTTCTTTTTATACAAGTTCCCTGATCCAGATCCAGTTCTCATCATAATATTTTCAAGCACCCTCCTATGGTTTTCAGGAAAAGAAGAAATGGATGGCAACTGACCCAAACCCAATGTTGGAGGCATGTCCCTCTCTTGTTGATTATACCTAGGAACATCTTGCAGAGGGAATTTCAAATTGGACAGCAATGGCATTGCCTGAAGGTCTTGCATGGACTCATTTACAACATCATGCCTACTCCCTAAGGATAAGCTAGGCAATAGGTCATGATGTGACATGTTCATGCTTTTGGTAGGAAGGGGGAATCTGGGCAGCAATTTCTCATCAAAAGGTAAATTAGGCAATGACATCTTTTCCTGAAAATCGGCAAAACTAGCACCAGAGCTTTCTAATCGATCAGAAACTTTTCCTTGTGGAACAGCAGGAGGATACTGCAAAGAAATAAGTATTGTCATCACATATTCACAAGGACAGAAGGTTTTGCTTTTGACAACTAAACAAACCAAAATGGCGAGAAATAGAGAGTTACCGGACTAAATGGAAGCCAACTATCTTGATTGCTATTTTTAAGACGCTGTTGTAAAACTTCGGGTGATACATCTTGCAATCTAAATTTCTCCAGGGTAGTCTCTTGACCTTTTGCTTCTTTCTCAGCTGAAGGTCCAGTAGACGGAGCTAAACTGAACGGAAACTCTGGTCCAGTTCCTGGCCTGCTTTGCCTGCCATTTGATCTTGAGAAGTTTCTATGATACGAGTCTAATTGATTAGCATTGGGGGCACAGAGCCCAAGAACTGGCAACAAGTTGTTGGTTGATAGCGAGCTGGTATAGCTTATGCCCTGATGATTGTTACTTGGAAGGATTATGTCAGAGGAAGACTGATGAAGAGGATTAATAGAAAGATCCAACTGACCACTTATTTTATGTTTTGACAGCCTCCCAAGCCTCAAAATTGAATCAGCCTTGCTCTTTGGTTCATCTGATGATTGAGCAAGTTTGTTATCCTCCAAGTCAATTACCGAACACTTTTCTTTATCTGGCTGTTGAGCTGATTGGTTTACACGATCCCCATCTCTCTCATTCATGGAAGGACACTGAGGAACTAACTCAAGTCCAGGAAATCCCTCAGCTGAACGAAACTCTTCAATTGCATTCCTCCTAGCAAGCCGTTCTTTTTGTCGAGCACGGAGTTTAGTACTGTCCAAAAAGGATTATAAAGTAAATTAATGCATAGACGATGTCAAATATTTAAGAATCCTATCCTACTAATTTACTTCACAAAATTAATCCATATTGTATCTCTGAAAGTAAAAGATTGAGTGTAGGGATGGCTGCCAAATTATTCAAAGAGTTCAACAAGGAGAGCATGTATCAATTCTTCTGCTAATTTAAATGTTTAGCCCCAACTAGTTCATTATAGAGAGTCATTACCTGTTTTAACAATCAATCAGCTAACATTGCATTTGAAAATTGGAATTTTAAAAATACAAATTTCCTGGCATATGAAAAGTGAAATTCTCAGAAAGAATCTGAACGTACTACTTTGCTTTAAGAGCTCGTCCAGCTGGTGTATATTCCCGCTCTGGCTCCGCTTCTGGTTCTCTTTCTTCTTCACCACCACTCTGCATTTTGACAAAATAACAAGTTGCAAACACCATGAATAAGTAGTACAAGAACTAATATAGCTTACTTACAGGCAACTATGCAAGTACCCGCATGTGCATGTAGAATCATTAAAGTATGTCCATATGATTTAAAGAAGTTTTACATATTTATGACGGAGATATATGAAAAGCCAGTCTTTTCTATATTTGAGTAGTCCAATTAAATGAAGGTATCTCAGTTTACCAAACAAAGAAATTGTTGGCAGAAGCAGAAGAGAATAGTTAGAAGAGGGAAATTCTAAAGACAGAAATGGATAAAAGATTTGAAGTAATTGGAGTAA